GTTTACGGATCCATAATAAACGAAGAATCCATCGTACTCATTGATTTGATAGTTATTTCATATTGGAAGTTGAGTTCTATCAAACCTGAAGGAGATTACTCGATAACTTAGCACGGATTCACAGGGTGAAAATGGCCATCTTGGCAAGGTTTGGGTAGAAATCAAAGATTGGCATGACCTTGTACTAACCTATTGCAGCTATCGTCCCAAAAATGGATATGAACGGCAAGAGAAATGTGCGTATTATAGCATCGGAACCCATTCTGCGACAATCCCGTCGTATATTTCGTAACTGTCCGTTGGTGATATATGAATATCTATCTTCCAACCTGATCTCTATAACATCTATATATTGAAAAATAATAATTTTTAAACTACGGAATGTAAAAGTGTTCACTAAATATTTTAAAAGCTATTTACTAAATCGAGAACAGAATGACACGTCGTATTTATTTGACACGTCGTTTTATTTGACACGTCGTATTTTTAACACGTCGTATTTATTTGACATGTCTTTGACATGTCGTATTTTTATCACGTCGTATTTATTTGACACGTCGTTTTATTTGACACGTCGTATTTATTTGACATGTCGTATTTATTTGACATGTCGTATTTTTAACACGTCGTTTCATTTGACATGTCGTATTTTTAACACGTCGTATTTATTTGACACGTCGTTTTATTTGACACGTTGTATTTATTTGACACGTTGTATTTATCTGACATGTCGTATTTATTTGACACGTATTTTTTTAACACGTCGTATTTATGTATTGATTTGACACGTTGTATTTATTTGACACGTTGTATTTATTTGACACGTCGTATTTATTTCGGGTTGTCAAATAATCTTGTCGTATGTATGACCTACTACTCACCAACCATCAGTCGCCACTGCTCAGTCACAACAGCCAGCCCAACTAATGTATGTCCCGTAGAAAGTAAACCCCCACTCCCAGAGTCCCATCACTCCACCAGTCCCCAGACCCAGGGCCCAGGCACCAGGTCAAACCAACGAAAGCTCAGTGGATCCAAATGTATACAGGCCATTATTGTCCACCTGACAAGCCCACACCAGCGGTTCTTAATTAGAGCTTTCGGTATCCATGGCAGATCAATAGCAAGTTATTGCACGGGCAGATCCTACCGATTAAGTCACAAATACCGGGTGTCCGGCTTTATATCAAAGTTTTGTCATATTAGGAATGCATCGTACCTTTGTACAATTAATATAAAACGATATATCATCGGATAGGCGCTCTGTTATTGAGGATTGTTAAACACAGAAAAATACTTTTTGAACATACAAATAAAGGATGATAAATACATCCTAAATCTAGATCAAGTAGTTTTATTTGAGCTACCCTATCGCAGCAGCAATGGAGAAAGGGTTTTAGGGTTTTAGGGTTTAGGGTTTACCTCTACAAATGCAGCATTAAAGCAATGACACAACGGCACATCCCTTGATTTCTTCGAAGCACTTGCAAACAAACATATACCGGTGTACCACACCCGCCTACTTAGCAAGAACATACTTGCCCGGCCGAATTGAGTAGCCAAAGCGCTGTAATTTTTAATCCTAATATTCGGTTGTTGCCCGCTCTCGCACCAGCACACGCACCCCAAAATTCACATGGACACAGACCTAGCGGACCTAGGTCACTAAATAGTTTATTGTATTCCAATACAAAGCTAGCTACAGCGCTTACGATCCACCACTCCATGGGATGGGATATGGTGTGCTTTATCATTAATGTCCTGGTTCAATGTGTAAGCTTATGCGGTCTTTATGTTTACGCTAGGCTATCGATCTTCTTGTGTGCGATGGCGTCCAGTTCTTTGTGTATTGAGTCGTGCTCTTTCTGCACCCGCTTTTCAGCGGCTCGAGCTTCGTCCTTTGGCAGATTCGCGTGTTTGACTTGGTCCATCCCTGTGTGCACGTAAGCGAGTAAGCGACAGGGTTAAGAGATCACGTTCAAAATGTGCACAAGTTCACACACTCTTGAGATAGGGAATCTCAAGTGTATATAGATATATGTGTAAGAAATGTGTATATAATCGCTCGCTTACTTTGGTCCGATCCCTACAAGCTCAACGTGCCCACCCGAGATGTCGGTGCGAGCATCAGAGACACCAAGTTAAAATTTTAAAAAAGGTATATGGCGACAGATGATCAGGACCCTCAACACAATGAGTAAAGTATTCGTACGAGTACACCTACTGACACTTGGGGTGGATTAGTCAATGGCCAGGATATAAGATACATGTGGCCGTGCACAATACCGCCACTAATAAACTTCATACGCACACGTCTTCCCACTCTGATACGACAACCTGTGCAAGAGTTACCCACGCCTTTCACATGATTACGCACAGAAAGTGGATATACCTTTCCCTCGGGCACCTCGCAGATTGACCTTAGCTCTCTCTGCAATCTCTTTGCACTTCTTGATAAGGGTCTGGCGTGTTTCTTTAGTGGTCCTGCGGAAGCGAAGGAACGCACACAGAATACGAAAGGTTAGTACGACTGTAATATAAATACAATAAAACACACACACACACACACATACACACATACACACACGAAAGATAAGTCCGTGTATACTCCTCTGCCGTACACTATAAATTTCAGTGCTGAAATGACCGATAAGCCCGAATGGGGTCTCAGTCAGCACAATTACTCTGACAACCAACGGCTACACACTGGTTTGTTGTCCTGCTGTGCTAAAGCTAGCGGTCAGTGCAGCGACAGTCTTCAAAATGAACCACACGCTCTGCACATATATCACAAGTCCATTAATGGATTCACATCGATACCACAACACGCTCTGCACATATATCACAAGTCCATTAATGGAGTCACATCGATACCACAACACGTTCTCCACATATATCACAAGTCAGTCACATTGATACCACAACATGCTCTGCACATATATCACAACTCTATTAATGGAGTCACATCGATACCGCGTGCATCGTGCATACAAATGAATGCCTGGCACTACGTTTGTGCGCTATTCCCACAGTAGAGTGTGGCGATAAAAGCCTCGCAATGAAATATAATATCATCATACGCCTTGAAATGTATGGTTCACCAACACTGGTCAGTTATTAGAACCTTCTTAAGACACAGATACTGCACTCGCAGAACTGATGACTGAGAGTCAGTAACGACACACAGTCCCCGCCCCAACTCCATACATATAATCACACAGAAGCTGCGCCCGAGCCCGGCGGTACTAAATCACACATCACAACACCAACAAACACGCACACGCACAGGCAGGTCCAGTTGACACATACTTGGGTATAAGCACTTTGGTATTAAAACACACAGCACAACACCAAAAAACACACACACGCACAGGTAGGTCCAGTTGACACATACTTGGGTATAGGCACCTTGATCATTCCCTCGTCTGCGATGTCTGGGTTGAGGCCCATGTCAGCCTCAAGTATAGCGCTGACCACATGTGGGGCAGACTGAAGTGAGAACGTTCGGTGATTAGACAGATATACACAGCTAGTAGGATCTGTTCAGGCCCACGCACAATGGTATACGTGCAACAATTGACCAGAGCTCCGTATCGGAACTGAATACGTACCCGCCGGGCTTAACTGTCACATACTAATACTACTTGCTAGACGTGACATTCGACACTGTACTTTGGTTGGTCTGTATGTATATTGTATATTCCTGTACACGCACAAGGTCAACCCTTCATCCTGATCTCTCTCGCATATTCTTTAGAGACAATATCTGCATAAAGGAGCTCGTGTTTATATAAACATACAAACCATTACATATTCACGTATATAATGCCACGCCGAGAGTAACGATGGGTATATATGAATATATACACTACCACCTATCTACCTGTGTTAGCACACCAATACGTCATAGCACCTGATCACCACTGCTGTCCGAACTAGCAAGTGGTTATCACCACTTTTGTCTAATTGCAGCTTCATACACCCTGCACCCATGTTGATTCGTATCTTCACCAACAAATAGTTGTGGACACAAATATACAATCACATGCATATGATACCATACACACAATCACACAATCACATGCATATGTTACCATACAAACAAATACACAATCACATGCATATCTTACCGTACACACAAACACACAATCACATGCATATGTTACCATACACACAAATACACAATCACATGCATATCTTACCATACACACAAATACACAATCACATGCATATCTTACCATACACACAAATACGCAATCGTATGCATATGTTACCATGTACAGAAATACACAAACACATGCATATGTTACCATACACACAAACACAATCACATGCATATATTACCATACACACAAATACACAATCACATGCATATGTTACCATACACACAAATACACAATCACATGCATATGTTACCATACACACAAATACACAATCACATGCATATCTTACCATACACACAAATACACAATCACATGTATATGTTACCATACACACAAATACGCAATCGTATGCATATGTTACCATACACACAAATACACAATCACATGCATAAGTTACCATACACACAAACACACAATCACATGCATATGCTACCATACACACAAATACACAATCACATGCATATGCTACCATACACACAAATTCACAATCACATGCATATGTTACCATACCGAAGGGTCGTAACAACTGATCATGACTGTCTTAGGGTCGCGCACCGCCACCTGCCCTATCTGGAAACAGCGTAAGCGATACATAAACAGAAATATATGAGAACCGACTGTATCGAGAATTGCACCCAACACTATGATGCGAGTGTTCGCAGGTAGAAAATTGAGAGATGTGCAGACGAGATTAATGGTATCTCCTCTCCCGGTTAACGGCGCAGGTCACTGTGAGTAGCAATGGGACCGGCACTGGATAACTGAATAGGAATTGTATGAGTGTTTCATACTTTTGTCTGCCCGTGCAAGTTGACCGCGCCATGCACCTAGTGTGTGGCTGGCTGAGGCTGTTGTGTGGTTGGTTGAGGCTGATGTGTGGTTAGTTAGTGCACAACCCGGATACAGCTAAAGTAGACGAACCTGAGACAGGCATGTGCTAGAGGCCCTGCAAGATTAGAGTGAATGGGGGGCACAGTAAGGCCCAGTTCTTGTACTGGTAAGATTGTGTACCAAATAATTCGGACTCGGATGCAACCTAAAAATTGGGCTCGCACACAGGGTGGCGGTAGAGTCCCAATAATTGAGAACCGACGATAGGCACACAACAGGTCCAATTCTTGGCTCCAGAATACACCAATGACCGTATTTTACTTGCGAAAGCAAACACAACACTTATTCAACCGCACTATACCATAAGTCACAATCAACGCCAAAGCCAACGGGTACAGGAGACGACTGCTGTGCTCTTTCTTGCTGCACACTGGCTGCAGATCTCACTAACTCAATCGATTCGTGAGCTCACACTAGCACACTTATACCGGTTCGAATACATGTACTGCCAGAATGGTGTTGACCAAATAGAGTTGGCTATTGAAGTTTTACCTGGCACTCTACTACATAGGGCACCTTACACTGGAAGCACAAACCAACGATGGCATGTCTATGCGAACGAAACAAAACCGGAAGGCCAAGGATGTTAAAGCGAAAAACACCTCACTTCAAATACATACAGCTGAGAAGTATATATGAGTATG